CACTTTCATTATTAAACACCAACGCAGGTGATTTTAATCATTTTACCGTATTTACTCACTCTTACTGCTGAAGCTTCACTCTCTACATTCTTGTAATGTTAGCTAAAGCATAAAATGGAAGGCTAAAGCTAGCTTTGTAAGCTGCAGCTAGGTAGCAAGTGAAATAGAGGAGTAAATAAAGTTAAAGTAGGGTGTGGCTTTCATTTATTTAATCAAATAATACAAATTATGAGACTTTTATCAACTGCAGAAACTCTGTAAAGCTTAATATTTCCTTTTATCTGACTGTATTTATCTAGTTTTCTTTTTGACTCGTCTGATAACTTTGTACTGCTTTTTGTCGGTTTACAGCACAATACTTGTATAAAGGAGATTTTTGGGTACAGGTGTAATAAAACAAAAACTAACTAGCCAATTGTCCATTTTTATTCTGTATCCCCAGATTAAGCCAACACCGCCCCGCTTGACACAGCCGCCGCCGCCGCCGCTGCCATCATGCCTGGTGAGGATAAACCACCACAACAGACCCGCCAGAGGAAGAGGAACAAAAAGTCCCGTTCCAAGGGGAAGAGCCCGGGTGGGAGTCCCAGTGCCCACCTAGGAGGTACCATAGACAGCCAGGATGACCTCCTCTTACCGCCAGTGCCCCGGCCTCTACCTAAAAAGCCAGTGGAGGAGAAGCCCAAAGTGGAGGAGGAGTCATCCATTGCTATCTGTCTTCAGGTGCTTTTCCCCTACCTGCTGGCTGGGATGGGCATGGTGATGGCCGGCATGGTGCTGAACGATGTACAGGTGAGTTCCCGGTCATCAGGCTGGTTTTGAGACAGTTGCATCGCAGATTTCAAGGTTTATTCATGAACTGACAGTGTGCACATTACACCTGAATGCGGTAACAACACATGGAGTTATATATGTGTTGTTACATTTTCCATAACTTGTAAAGCAAAGTTGTCACAATTCATTTTCACCCGGTGGTGAGGCTCAGTGTGTTGTGTTTGACTGCCATTGATGAGTTGCTAGTTTATTGACGAGTGCCCATATTGTGGTCTGTTCAGTTTCGGCTTTTGTCTCTAGACCTCCAGTCTCTATCACAGGCTATATCGTAGTAAACACAAGTCAAAGGTCATAATTGGCTTGCTAGACAGTTGAACCTGATCCTTTATGGAACCTCATACAGACATGGAATATGCATTCCCTTGTGTGGAAAAAGTTTGATTGGATTACCCAATGAAGTTAAAGAAGTCCATAATAAAGTCCTCTTCAGTGTAGACTCTAGTTCAGACCAAAAATTCCCGATGAGATGAAACAGTTTCAGAACGTTGCAGTGAAAAGTTGGAGCGGTGTGACCTGGTTGTCTCAGCTCGACTCAAGCCGGCTGATGGCGTTGTGTGCAGCTCAACTTGTCAAATCTCCAGTGGCTGGTTTGAGAACACAAATCATGTGACCTGTTTCAACAGCCAATTGGCTCATTGTGAAGTCAGCTGGTCGAAATGGCAGTATTTGGGACGGAGAAAAGACATCGCGTCATCAACACAAGCCTTAAAATTTACTCATGCCCTCTCATTTTATTTACAGTTTTTATAGTTTCACCAATAAAATGCAACTGTAGCAGGTAACGCACTATCACTATCACAATCACTATCCTCCTGTATTTTAGGATGCTACAAATGTTATGTTAAGAAAGCCTGAAAAACCAGCAGCAAGAACAGAGAGTTGGTACAAGGGAGACAACATTGCTTATTGCAAATCTTTGGTCTGAACTGGGCTTAATAGAGTAACTAAGTCAAACTTAAATTCTACTGTAATAACCTTTGTATTTTGTATTATCACAATCATTCTATGTCAACTCTAAGATCCTGTATATATTTTTTAAATACACTTATATAAGTATATATGATCATTTCCTCTTGGCTGAATCCATTTCATATATGTATGGAATGAGCTACGAGGATGCAAAGACGAATGAGGAGTGAGCACATCAACATCTGGTAGTACTTTGTTTCACTTTAAAGATAAAGAATGTAGCTTTGTGTTATTGCATAACTGTACAGACTCACATGGAACCGCACACAAACATTTATACCTATACACATCATACCATTCTTAAATGTGCACTCGTTCCAGATCACTGGGTTAACTATAATAACATGATAATGTAGCCATCGATATTTGTAAGACTGCCCTGGAAGAACGTCCTCCAGTTCTATTAGTCCTTAATGCTGTAAACTTGGTCAGTCAGATATTTGCTAAAAATCGTGTCTTCTTTATGAAATCAAACGACCATTTATCATAGCTAGAAACTGTAGAAACAGAAATGATCACCAGATTTTCCCATTTCTGACTGACTGATTTTCAGACAGTCATATGGCAGGGCAAGGATTCCAACATTGGTAACAGTCCTGGGCACTTGGAAAAATGTCATAACTATGTTATACTAACTACACAAAAGACATTTTTGATTACTCCCTACTTCTGTCCATGATTGTGCTGTTTCCATAGAGGTGCAGGCCCACAGTGAGTAGGAATGTGTCAGGAGAAGAAACGGCCTGAAACTGCTCGGGGTTCATACAGTATTGCAGATGAGCGCTTCTTTGTTGCTGGGAAAATGTACAGTCAGGTAGATTTTAAGTGTGATAATCAACACTCAATAGAACGCCTGTCAGTCTGTCACAATGCGAGTTAGGAACATTTGTGGTGGGGGGGGGTAATGTACTTGAATAAGTTGGGCGTTTAGAAGAACTCCTTATCTCGACTGTTAAAGCTATAAAAAGCTTTGTTCTGTGCCACTGGACAGCCATCTGTATTGTGTTTGTGTGTCTAGTCGGAAGTCTTTGTCTTTTAATTGACGTGGATACCTGTGTGTGTGTGTGTGTGTGTGTGTGTGTGTGTGTGTGTGTGTGTGTGTGTGGTCCAGTTGTCTGTTTATCCCCTGCCAGGCGTCTCTGGCATTTGGTCTTCAGCCAGCTAGGTTGAGGGAAATCAGACGCACTGCTGTCTGCTTTATGATGAGCCGGTCCCTGTTTCTTCCTCTCTGTCCTCCACTGATAAACACGCGTCTGTCTTCATAAGGCTTATTCCCTCCACTCCATCTGTTGCTCATCAGTATTTCCACCCTCTCCTCTACAGTATCTGTTACCCTCTGATGGAGGACGATTAGTCATGAGTTTGGCTGAGTGCTGTGTCTCAAAGCGCAGGGGACATTAGAAGGACATTGAGAGCAGCCTATCTGAATGGAAAGGAGATAAAGACGAGAACACTACACTATCAGCAATTAGGACTGTTACCGTAGCCTCTGGTGGTTGTCGAGCTTGCCTCCACAACCACGTCCTGTTGTTGCTCTTTCAGTTTTTGACCCCCGCGGTTTGCCATTGCTTTCCAAGTTATGGCTCACTGGGCTGCATTACACCATAATGCAGATGTATTTCTCCACAACACGTTCATAACATTACTGGTTGGATTGAAATTGACGCTGGGGCCTCAAAGCACTCTTTCCTGAGCTAATAAACTATTGTTCCTCTTCACACCAAAATAATGCACCTGTGATATTTTCTGTAAATTGGGGTTGTAGTGCTAAATTTAAACCCGAAGGTGTCCGCGGTTGGTCAGCCTCCCAGAAACCTAGGGCGTTATATGCTGTCATTGTTTGAGACAAACACATTTAATGCCAAACTGTTACAACATATAAGATGATGTTGATTATATTATATAGTTTTATTGCATACAAATGACAAAGGAGAAGTTACATTGTATTTGACACCATTAGAAAATATCCCTTTTTTTCTTGCATTGTTAAAAGCTTAAATACATAACTTAATACAAATTTGAAGCGTGTGAAAATTGTTGAATTCCAAGTCCAGCTATAGCAAGAGATCTGCAGGGCTTTGTTGCAGCTTGGAATGCAAATGTAAGGTTTAATTGGAGTACATTAAAAGTTAAATAAATGTCATTTAGCAGAGGCTTGTGGATTTTACCTTTTAGCTGATAATAACACATAACAATCAAGACATCTAGCTCATTATGAGCTGTACTAGTTGTACACAGTTGTATAATGTCCTCCATGGCTCTAGAGGAGCAGGGCAATCAAGAGAAAAGACGCTGTTGAGACGCATTATGGGTAATGTAGCATTCAACATTTCGACCCATACAAGGGACAAAAAGCCAGTATGTCTCAGCCTTAGCTGCTTTTTGACCATCCTTTTTTTAACCTGTACCTTGTGAGTGCCAAACTTTATGAAAGCACAATAGTACATTTCTGGATTTCCCCTTTAAGTAGCTGCGGTGGTTCCATAGAAAGAAAATGTATGATATATCCATATTTGAAGCTAATAAGAGACACTGTGAGGTAGATGAGTGGAAGTAGCAGTAAAACACAATTTTAAAGTCGATTAAGATGCAAAAAGTACTTCACTAGTTTAAATGAATGATTTGATAATAATAAGGAAATAATAGCCACTACTTCCATGCACAGCCCTGTTCAGACATGTTTGCGTGTAAGAGAAAAGGGTGAGGAGAAAAGTGCTCTGAAATCAATATTTCAGTTCAGGAAAGCATCTCGAAGGCCGGGCAGTGTTTTCGTGTTTACAGTACGTGTGTGTTTGGTGTTACAAAAGAAGGAGATACTGTACCAGGGCCTACGACACAGTGCAGATATAGCAGGTGGACCGGAGATAGAGATAGATGGACCGGTTGGAGGAGAGAAAGAATGAGTCACGATGTACAGAGAGAGAGAGAGAGAGAGAGAGAGAGTAGATTAGAAAAAGAGGGATGAGAGGGGGATAAACGCAGCGAGACAGCCGACGGAGAAAGAGGGATGTCACAAGGAAAGAGGGAGGTAGGGTGAGAGGCAGACACGCAGCAAGAAATAGCGAGAGAGAGAGTGTGAGGCGGTAAGCCGGTCGTTTCCCTCATGAGTTTGCATGTCGGGCAGCGCAGACAGCCCTGCCTCTTTCTGTGCTACGTCACAGCAGAGCAGAGCGGAGGGAGCAGGACTACCCTGATGCTGACAGCAGGAAAGGAGCACTCCAGCCTGCCAGGAGCCGGCTGCTGCATCTTGTCAGTGGACCTCTTAGATCACTTATTGACATCACGGAGCTCTTTTTGTTTTCCCCATCACCCTCACTGTGAGCCCGCCAGAAGAGAGGAGCTGGATTGACAAAACAAATAAAAGGATTCTGCTGCTTCTAACTCTCAAAACCTTTTGGACTATTCTTCATCCTCTTTTGCTGCTGTCAATCATTCAGCTGTCACAGCGAGCATTACTATCATTCGCAAAGGATACAGCTGTGCCTTTTTTACACTGGAGGTCAAGCGGATTTCAGACTGGATCATATGGATTGAGGACTAGATCCAATAAACCATGAACTCCATTCAAAAGACTTTGAACTACATCAAATGGATTCTGGAGTGAATCAGAGCTTGATTGGGACTCCTTGAAATCTGAACTCTCCATTATCAGGTTCATTCTCTTTAACCTGTGTGTGGATGTCAGATCCATCTTACCTTTACTCAAAAAGGCAGGTTGCTTAAAGACAAACTCAGACTTTGACTGCAGATGTGGAGCATATGTGCCTGTAGATTAAGATTGTGACCTATGAGTAAGAAATGGTGTTAATGGTTGTGTTCCCCAGTGGTGCTGACGAATGGATACCTCATCACTGCTGACTCACCACTAGACCAAAGATGCCATGCCCCATTGCCCTCAAGTTAGAATTAAAGCCTTTAATTTTAACAAATGGACAATCTGTTAGTCGTTTCACTTGATTTTCACCTCGGAACACCTGAAAGCATGGCAGCTCCTAATTACTTTATTCTTCAATTTCAGAAGTGTTAATATAAGCTAGTTGTTTCACTTGTTCATTGTCAAGAATGACTGAAGAAAAAACCTGTCCTTTCTTTGTAACCCTTCCAGAGCACCATGCATTCAGAATTTCACAAAAGGCCTCAGTAACGGCTTAAAACATTTGCCCTTGCTCTTTTTAAACCAAGGACAACAACATTGATTGTTTTTACTCTTCAGCATTCACCCTGCTCACTTCTTGTGACGGGTGAAACTCAAAGCCAATTTATTTGGACACATCAGAAGCTGGTTTTTCCTTTATGTTTGGATTGTAGTCACACTTAGGATGGGATAACTATACGTTGAACTAAGTGCTTAAGTGACCCCTCGTTCATCATGGTGGTGACTCGTCTGGAGCTGGAGCTACGCTACCAGGGCAAGAAGTTACGTGGAGTGACATGGAAACTGACTCGATCAGAACATGGATTCCTGCCAGAGAGCTCCTGGCTCATTGCTGCCCAGATTATAGTGCCGTTCCTGGTGTCAGGGCTCGGAATGGTCTCCGCCGGTATTGTTATGGACCTTATACAAGTAGGAAAATCTCTGAAAAACCATTTGTGGAATTAGTTTAGAGAGATTGATGGAGGGATGGATGAATAGGCTTGGATATTGTCTGAAATGTTTTGATACTAATGACACTACTATAGCCGAGTTTCAGGTTAGGGTTACAAAATGCCTTTCTTTCATTAAGCAAGAGAAAAAGCTTCCCAAAGGTTAAATGCTATCACAAACCTATCACCAGACAGTTCTGCAAAACCCTGGATTTTATGTCCAGTGCAAACATTTCAAGATTCCCGCTTTCTAAGTGCATGACTAATGCTGTATGTCAAGGTTAGGGCAAGATTGTAGCTATGGCAAGCTAGCTAAGGCTAAGGTTTGGTTGGGGCAGGTAAGGAGACTGTCTTCAGGGCAAGGGCACAAGTCAATTTTCATTTAAAAATTAAAAGTCTTACTTAAAAGCTTATGGGAAGATTGTGGTAACCTTCAGTAAAAAGGCAAACATTACTTGCAGGTCTGTAATGGGTCCGACTGATCAGAAAGAATAAGGAAAAAAGGGCAAGTATTTTGAGGGCAACTTTTGGTCCTTGACAGTTTTTGATACTCTGCTACAGACACATTTCAGTTGTTGCCATAGAAGCGTTGTGGTTCGATATGGACCTTCCCGGCACTATAGATGAATGGGTGGATAGACTGACTTCACACAAACAGATTATCATGGGGGAATGGATGAATGAATAATGTGCGGAGATGAGTGTCCGTGTACGTACTGCAGACAGACAGCCATCGACAGCTAGATGGGTGATGGATGGGTAAACAGTAGAGTGAGAGGCAGAGATTGACTTTACCTGCTGCTTAAGTAAGAATGTCTCAGCTGGCATCATTTTCCTATCCACATGTACAAGTTAGGGTCAGACGGACTTAAGCCTTTTATCAAAAATTATTTGTCAATTTCATTCACCTTCTGTATGACTCGGCCAGCTCTTTGACCACATAGCGTCTTTTAAACCTATTTTGTGTGAGGAGAGAGTAGCAAGAAAAAAAGATTGATTGTTAAATTGGAGGATGGATCTTGCACAGATGGAGGGAGGTGTTTCCTTACAAACAGCCGGATAACTGGATGTATGAATGGATGGATGGATGGAAATACCGAAGCAGCCACTAGTTTGACCAGTTTTGCCTTCCCATTGACAGCGTTTTCTGTTCAACAGATGGAACCTTGTGTAACATCCACCTTTCTCAGCTTTTCAAATCAGATTTAGATGTGGGAGGGAGAGGAGAGCTTTGGGATAAAAGCGAACACTTAATTTAATAAGCGGTTGGAGGATGAAAGAAAGGAGGCCAGAGAAAGAGAGAGGTATAAAAAAAAACGTATATCCTGGTATCACATTGAAGAGAATAAGTAGATCCTGCATTACAGAGAACTGCAGTTAAACAAAGCCATGTCCGCACTGTTAAAATATAGCTTGAGCTGTTCTGAAAATAAGTGCACATGCTGATGTTACAGTAATGATGTCTCTAGTGGTGATACGTATTAATATCGGTCATTAAAATGACAGTGACAACAAAAATATTATAAACCTTTCTTCTCCTGAGAGAAGTAGACTAGCACATGGTTTCGTTATCTTGGCTTTAAGCCCATCACACTGAAGCAGCAGCAGCAGTATTACAGCAGAAGTGGGCCATGTCCCAAGATAGCCTCCCAACACGACAGCCGTCAGAATAGACCCGCCAGTCCGGGACCTGAGAGCGACGTGTATAAATAGACACACACACACACACACACACACACACACACACACACACACACACACAATTCTACTGTTCACTATGCTCTTATTCATCGCTCTGTACGGCCTTGTGGCCTTGTTTAACCCCTTCAAACCTCATCACCACCTCCCCTCGTTGCTGTTGTATAAACAATTCAGGAGGCCGAAAGGATTTCATTGGTTTGTGCAACGTTGGTGGGTGGAGCCAAAGCACAAGTGCACAACGAAAGACTGGCCGAGGAAGGAGCTCAAGTGAAACTTTTTAGAAAGATATTAATGACTTTCAAAACATTAGATCTTTTTTCATCATTTTGGGTGAACAGGCTTGCTAACTAGCTTAGCTGTACCTTTTTTTTCATTTTGCTTCAATCTCAGCCAGATGAAGTGCTAACGCTACCTCTGGGGCTAGCTGCTACTCCGCTAGCATCTGCAACTCAGTGTAGTTTATTTGATCTGTCTGTTCCTATTTAAGATAGATAAGTCTCTTCTATGGTAGCTACTTGCTGTTAGAAGTTGAAGCAGTTATGATGCTAAAAACAAATCATACATTTGTTAGCATACAAAAAAACTACAGTCCCATTAGAAATGACTAGCTCAGCAGTAAGTGTACTAATGTCACTGTAAATTGGTTTCCCACATATCCATATCCACCAGCACTCTCTTTTAATGAAATTTCTTTAGCTTGTAGCTGTAATTTCTGCTGTCTAAAAGCATCTGAAGTAGCCACATCCACTGTTGAGCTGGTGACGGTGAACCCACAGTGATCTCGTGCTTATGGGAAGGCCACCAAAAACAGAAATGTTAAAAGAAACAATGATATTAGATTGATTTGGTTTAGTTGTAAATTACCATCCCTATCTAGACAAATGGAGTCAACCACATAACTTTCATGGCTGTCAAAACAGAAGCCGGACATTCTAGTTTCTGGTAAAAAAAAACAAAAAAAAACCCTGACATTAAATCATTTCAAATTGAACGTTCATGGCTGAACAGGCCAGATAAGCGTTGTATCTATTTGGCTGTACCCCTTTCCTTTATATTAATTGTGGTTCACTCAAAAAGCAGCTGTACTTGCTGCAGAAATTAATCTTGTCAAGTTCATGCAGGGACACGTTTGCTGAAAAAAACAAAACACTGTATGGGCTTTGGATTCTACTGTGCACTGGCTGAGCAAGTTAAAAGCTTTGCACACCAGCCCTAATGCATTATGTCTAGGTGTGTATCGCCTTGTGGAAAAGCTTGACCTTAATGTTATGCTAAATATTCAAATGTGTTTCTATGTTGGTCAGTTTCTTTTATTGTCACTGCTCCACTGGCATTCCTTCATTACACCCATTTAAGTTTAACCGAATAGCTTATCATATGTGTGCTTCCAGTACGTTTTCTCCTCTGAGAAATGTTTTTATAACAAAAATTCTTGTCTGTTTCTTTTTCCTTCCTTTTCCCCTCTTTCCTTCCTCCATTTCCGGCCTGTCAGTCCCTCCTCTAATCTTTAATTCCCTGTCTGCCTTCCCCTGCTCCACATCCCTCCGCTCTTGGCAGCTGTGTTGTCCTTTTATATGTGCATCTATTTAAAGATCTAAAGCGTCTCGGCCCTGCCAACTCAAGTTGTAGTCAGAAAATATGATGCAGACTCTGTGAACTGTACGTCTTCTATAAACCCACTGAACCTGTGTGGTATGGCGTGGCGTCAGATGATGCTCAGAGATGTGGAAACAGTAAAAGTAGGCTACTGGGTTAGTCGAGAATATGTGATGTGGTTATTTAACTGCATCAGAAAGGCACAAGGTTCAGGGGGTTCATCTGTGGAGGTGGAGGTGACACTAGGTGTTTTTTTTTTTTTTATTTTTTGTTTAGAATTGAAATATGTCAGTATTCAGATGGAAGAACTGAAAGAGTTGTAATTTAGTGAATTTATATATGTTTTATGTTTTAGTGCAATGCTCTGTAAGTGTATGCAATATTTAATTTCCTGTGTGTGTGTGTGTGTGTGTGTGTGTGTGTGTGTGTGTGTGTGTGTGTGTGTGTGTGTGTGTGTCTCCAGCACTGGGAGGTGTTTAAGGTGATAACAGAGGTGTTCATCCTGGTGCCGGCACTGGTTGGACTCAAAGGAAACCTGGAGATGACCCTGGCCGCTCGCCTCTCCACTGCAGTAAGGGCCGGATGTTAAATGTTTTTAGGGCTTCATGCAGTATTATATTCGACTCAGAACTTGACAACTTTCTTCAAACCCTGTTTAATGGCAGTATTTGTTATTATTTAAGAGAACTGTTTCAATCCTACAACTTAATTTACTACCATACATGCAATTTATCATTTAAACCTTTTAAACCTTTTGATATCATAGGAGACCCTAAAGAGCTAACATCAGTGGCAACCATAGATCCATCAGGTAGTTTATATTGCTATAATCTTGAATAGTTTCTGGAATGATCACGTGTAATACAGAAAGACAGATACGTGGTACTGTGCAGATGGCACAGCATTTCTGCCGTTTTTATACAGCCTGGGTCTCATTTCACAGTTTTGGCAGTCCTTCCTAACATTTTGATCACATTTCAAGGACCAACTTCATAGCCGAGATCTGGGGACACGGTGACATTGTTATAATTCAGTCCAGCAGGACAAGAATAAAAAAAACAAACAACAATCAGACAATATTACAATGTTATTGCAAACATATGGGGTATCAAAAATACTCACTGGGTACCTGTATTTTCATAACAGTAACAGTAATACCATTACTTTGTAACAAGACAGGAAAACAACAACAGGGTAACAGTGCAGATATTGAAGCCCTTATTAACATGTCACATCTTATATAGCTATAACATTTATTTTTATTTTTTTTGTATGTTTTTAAAATGATGATAAATACGGAGGAACAGTAATGTTTTGGGGTTGTAATATTTAATGGACCCCAGTGGACAATATTTTGCACAGACCGTACAGCTCAGCAGCTGTACAGCCATGTTTTATATTTGTATATATTGTCTCTTTTTATTGTCTCTATGTTTTATCTTAATTTATATTTTTCTCGTTTATTTGTTATGTACTTACTTACAAAGGCAAATTGCTTGTAGTGAAACCTGTTTGGCAATAGACCTGATTCGAATATAAGGTCCATCTGATGGAAAAGAGAACCAGTACGCCTCTTGTAGTTTGGTTTCATGATGTCATAGTACTAGGTGATTACATAAGCAGTCTAATTTATTACTAGGTCCCTCCTAAATGCCAATACCAATGTTACTGCCCTATTCCCTCTACTTCTTCCCTGTACCTGACAGTAGGAACCCGGTATGAGAACATAATTACAGTATACTTTGTGGGCTATGATCTAAAGTGTTCAAACCCTCAAAAGTCTTTACCTTCAGTTTGAGCCTCAAACAGTGAGCTATAATATTGTTGTCAGCATGTAATTGTAACACTTTATTCTCCATTTTGTCAGACCGATAGAACTTGAATTATGGAAATTGTTGCCTTTCCTTCCACATTCTAATTGAAATGACTGATGGTATTTCTATGTTTGTAGGCCAACACGGGCCAAATGGACGACCCTGATAAACAGTGGACCATGGTGTGCAGCAATCTGGCTCTCATACAGGTAACATACTTACTGTATACTGTATACTGTATACTCATACAGTTTATTGTTTTCAGTTCAGGTAAAAATAAGAAAATAACCATTGAGATAGTTTGTTTAGGTGCCTTTGGTCTTTGGTATTTTGTGTTTAGTGTTATATGTGTTAACATATTATCTTAGCTATAGTGTCAGTCACAGTCATTGTTGCACTCCAGTAGAAAATTCTGATTGTCCCTTCTTTTTATTGTCTGCAGGTTCAGGCGACAGTGGTGGGCTTCCTCGCAGCAGTGGCAGCCGTGTGTTTAGGAGCAATTTCTAGAGGGGGGGTTGAACTGGACCAGGCTGCTGTTCTCTGTGCTAGCAGCATCATCACTGCCTTTGTAGCCGCTCTATCCTTAGGTAAGTAACCAGGGATTGTTTTGCATCAGGAGTCGAATAAAACTCAATATTTATTACTGGCTTTTTTTGATTGTTTTGGCTTAAGTTCCAATTTACAAAACTCTTAACACAAAATGCCACACCACTACATTTTGCCCTATAAAATCTCACACAGCAGCCACAAAATGAAAACATTGAATCAAATTAGGTGAAACATCAAGCAGAAGGTTTATTAGAAAATCACAATTCTCGTTAAAGTCGTTATAAAAGAATACTGTCAATTACAAATTTTCATCAAAGCAGAGTGTGTGTAAAAATGTGTAATTTATGTAGAGGTCACTTGTCAGTTTGGCTCTTTGTATTAAAGGTCCAGTGTGTAGACTTTAGTGACATCGAGTGGTGTAGTTGCAGATTGCAACCCACTTGCTTCACCCTCCCTTTCCAAGAAGCTATGGTTGCCAGAAACGCATGATAAACACAAACGGCCCTATATAAAGCCAGTTTTCAGTTTACTGTAGAAACATGGTGGCTCAACAACATTCTTTGCCACAGAAGGTGTATGCAGATATAAACAGGTCATTCTAAGGTAACAAAAACAGAATAATTCTTATCTTCAGGTGTATACAGGAATGAAAACATACCTGAATGAATATAATATTCCATTTCTGCCAATAGCTCATTCTAAACATTACACACTGAGTTTTCACATTGAAACTGAGAAAACTGAGCCAAAGCGATTGTATTCTACTATGCTACTGGACCTTCGGTCAGCTGGCATTAATATTCTGGGTTTATCAGGAACTGCAGAGAGAAAAATACTTAAATCAATGTGTAAATGCTGTGTAATGGCTCCAGTGCCATATTTAACTGACAGACACAAGAGTGGCACCAATCTCCTTCGGCAACAAAGGGATTAAGAGTATTTTCTAAAATGGCACACTAATCCTTCAGTAAAAGCAAAAGGTAAATGTAGCTTCTATTTGTCTCTTTTTACTCACAATGACTAGGTTTACATGCACACTAATTTCCCACTGTTATTCCAAATATGACAGTATTCCACATTTGAGAAGGGTCATGTCAATGGCATATTCTGTTTGGATATTCCTAATTCGTCCTTATTCCGAATGTAGCATTTTCCGATTAGGACATGTAAGATATGCTGATGTTATTGGGAGTATTCTCTATACGTGTATACAGAGTATTTGCTATATGCGTGTCTTTTTGGATGTGTATGCTTTTTTGTGGATGCACAAAAGAAAAGGCCCCATTCTTGGTAGGAAGCAGAAACACAGCTACTTTTGAACATTATGAAAGACTTAGATATTAACCGTTTTTTGGATATGTGCAAATATCACAACACCCACCTTTAGAAGGTTGTTAAATGAAAGAAGGAGGCTGTGTTCACAAACAAGTCTGCTACCAGTGGAAACCTTTGAAAACATTCTCTTTTGATGCACAAAGGCTGAATGGCTCAAGCTGCTCCAGCTATTCAACTTTTACCAAATGAAAAGGAGTGAAATTCCTGTTGGACATACACAGTACGTCATTAACTGTTACATTAATCAGAATATGCACAGCTGCATGTAAAAGGGAATTTGTCTATTTCATAATAACGGCAAATACTGGAATATTTAGTGCATGTAAAGGTAGTGATTGTTAAACCAGACACCATAAATGAGTCCAGTTATAGCAGCAGGTGCACTTCTCCCCTTACCGCCCTTTCCGCTCAACTTATAACTGCATTATCCATAATTTATCCTCACCATAAATGTTCCAGTGTTCAGCAGACGTGATGAGTGAGGGAACTGAATTGCCCCTGGTCCTGTTTTTGTGTCTCAGCGGGGAGTAATCTTTTTCCCAGTTTTCCTCTCCTTACCCTGCCATGTTTAATATTCCTCTATAAATCATTTTTCTTGTATTTCTTATTTTGCTCAAAAGCTCGTTGTAGTCTTCTGCTCTTTTCCAGCAAGCTGTCACTCTGAGAGGCCGGTCGGCGTTCTGAAAATCCTCTTTATTGACTTTTTCTCCATCGTCCCATTTTTTTGTTTCGTTCCTTATAGAGTAACTAATTTGTAACTCATTTCTTCCGCCCTCACAGGCTTGGTGATGATCGGAGTGATCATCGGCTCCAGGAAGGTGGGGATCAACCCTGACAACGTGGCCACCCCCATCGCTGCCAGTCTGGGTGATTTGATAACCCTGTCCCTGCTGGCCGGGGTCAGCAGCACACTCTATGAATACATAGGTGAGGAAACACTGGAGGCGGAGGTTAAAAAAAGACCTGTTTTGCAGTAAAAATACAATAAATACGAAACTACAGACAGACTTAGGAAACCCTTGCAATAAGGAAGACGACAGTGTTTGTCCAATATGAAGGGACCCAAACTTTATAGAAAGCGTCCACCAAGGAGTGAACACATTGGGACTACATTCCATTATAAAACTGTGCCATGATTCTTTTGTTGGAGTAACATCCTTGATCCAAAAGAACCAAATGTTCTTCCTGGCAGCAACAGCCAGTAGATTGAATAACCTCTTATGTTTGATATTTTTAATATGACTGTCTGGCATACCAAGGAGGCACATAGGGTTTAGACAGGTGTCATTTTTTAAGTTTGTCATGTCAACCAGAACACAAGATGGCAGCAGAAGTCATGTTTATTTTTTCAGAAAGCTCATCATGTGTCTGCACACTGAAGTATTGTAGTGTAGCTTGCTTCCTGTATTCACAGTACCTCTCTCTGTCTCATTTTTCAAGCTACTTTATGTAAGTGTCCCTATCCCTCATCTGTTTATCTAACTGTTTGAGAAAGTGTTTCTACATGTGTGAATGGGTGCATGTGTACTTTATGGCTGGCTGTTGGCTTTTATCTTGACATAAATATTAATGACTTGAAATGTATAAAAGCCTTTTATATAGTATACTCAAGGTGGGGATTTTGTGGGTATACCATCATTTAAGATGATACCCAGCTATAAATATTACATTTGTAAAGTAATGATGTCAATAGATTTGTAACAGAGATGTGTAATATTACAGTACTACACATACCAGTATACAATATCTTGTCAGGTTTTTATTTTACTGCCATCTCTCCTTGTACATCATAGCATTGTTAACCCATTAATGACTAACGACTATATTTAGTATGATAAGGAAAAGTCCTACTGATTCTTTTCTGTCAGAGGTGAAAACCTAAAATCTGCAGTGAAAACTGTCAAGATGTGATGATAAAATCCAAATATTTGATTTAACATATGCATCGTGCCTTAAATAAAAGACAAAGTAGATTTTCTTTTAGAAGAAATGAAATGCAGAAATACACAAAATAAGTGATTCAATATATTAATATAATGTTTAAACAATATTTACACTGCATCAAAGAACACATGAAATTGAAATTAAAGTTGTTGTGCATCCAATTGTAAGTCAGTACTTTCTATCATACTATACTCATACTGTATTTAGTTGTTTGCCACTAGGAGTTACTCCCATAATAATACATTAAAATGTCTCTTAGGTCTGCACAATGGCAATACTGGACCAAAAAGATCCAACGGATTATCATTTAAAAAAATCTACATTATATATGTGTGTATCAAAAAGGGTAAAAATCTGAAATGCTGTACCTGTTGTTCTAGAGGTGTTTAACTGGTAAACACAAAAAGCTACCCCTTGTAACTAATGACTAGGAATAACTAATGGCAAACAAAATAATGGTGAAGGAAAATAAACTGTGGACATTAATGGGTTAAGTGTCAACTATTAATAGTAGTGCTGGTTATTGCTTGATTCATGGTTTGTCTGAAAGTGTTGCAGGTTTTTATTTATATTTATTTTTGGTGACCAATAAACCAAAAAGTATTTTTATTTCCTCACCTCCTCGTGCCTGGCCCCGTCCCACAGATGTATGGTACCTGTCCCCCCTTGTGTGTCTGGTCTTCCTGGCTCTGATCCCACTGTGGGTGTTGGTGGCCCGACAGAGCCCTCCGATCAGGGAAGTTCTGCGCTCAGGGTGGCAGCCAGTAATAGTAGCCATGTCCATTAGCAGGTATGCACTCCAGCACCTTTTAATTATTCTGAATTAATAATTGGCATGCAGTTCTGATTCCCTCTGTGTTTGTGATTTCCAGTTTTGGAGGCCTTATATTGGACAAGACAGTGAGTGATCCCAACTTTGAGGGCATGGCTGTCTTTACGCCCGTCATCAACGGTAAGTGGATCTTTCTGGTCTTTAAAGCTCAACGGTGACACAAGGAGTAATCAAACTGCAAGTTTTTATGGGGTGTTGTTGTCCAGAGTGACAGTTCAGAAACACTCACAGACCATCAATGTTTATACAGCGGTGTTTAATAATAATAATACATTTTATTTAAAGGCGCCTCTCTGGGCACTCGAGGACACCGTACAACACATAAAAAGTTAAAACAGTGAGAAATAAGAGACAGATAAAAAAGACAATGTAGAGAGTTAAGTGGGGTATGCAGTTCTGAATATGTGAGTTTTTAGTCTTGATCTGAAGAGTGTGAGAGAGTCCAGGTTCCTGAGGTCCGGTGGGAGTGAGTTCCAGAGTTAGGGGGCAGAGCGGCTGAAAGCCCTCCTCCCCATGGTGACGAGGCGGGCGGGAGGGACAGAGGTTGACAGAGGAGGCAGATCTGAGGGGACGTGAAGGGATGGCGATGTGGAGAGTTCAGACAGATAAGGAGGGGAAAGGTTGTGGATGGCCTTTAATGTAAACAGGAGGATTTTGAAGTTTATGCGGAGTTTGACTGGGAGCCAGTGGAGTTGCTGCAGAACAGGGGTGATGTGGTGGATGGAGGGGGTTCTGGTGATGATCCGTGCTGCAGAGTTCTGAACCAGTTGAAGTTTATGGAGGTATTTGTGAGGTAGACCGAAGAGAGGGGAGTTGCAGTAGTCGATGCGGGAGGTGACAAGGCTGTGTACAAGAATGGCAGTGGAGCGGGGAGAAAAGGAGGGGCGGAGGCGCTTAATATTATGTAGATGGAAATATGCAGACCGGGTGATGTTATTGATATGGGATTGGAAAGATAGTGTGCTGTCAAGGATGACACCCAGACTCTTAACCTGGGGGGAGGGGGAGACAGAGGAGTGGTCGATGGTGAGGGAAAAACAGCTTTTGAGAGGGTTGATTTAGTACCAATAAAAAGAAATTCTGTTTTATCACTGTTAAGTTTGAGGAAGTTGGAAGAGAACCAGGATTTGAGCTCGGGGAAGCAGTCAGTGAGGGAGGAAGGTGGAAGAGTGGGATTGGGTTTGCTGGAGATGTAGAGCTGGGTGTCATCTGCGTAGAAATGAAAGTGGATGTTGTATTTGCGGAAGATATTGCCAAGGGGAAGGACTTAGATGATGAAGAGAAGGGGTCCCAGGAAAGAGCCCTGGGGCACACCAGTGGTGACGGGGGACGTGTGGGAACTGCAGGATTGGAGTTGGATGAACTGAGTGTGCCCTGAGAGGTAGGATGTAAACCTGTCAAGGGGTGTGTGTGAAATACCAATGGAAATTAATCTGTTGAGGAGGATAGTGTGAGAGATGGTGTCGAAGGCCGCACTCAGATAGAGGAGGATGACAATAGTGAGTAAACCAGAGTCTCATCTAACCAGATTAGTGCAGATTCAGTGCTATGGAGGGGGCGGAAACCAGACTGAAATTGTTCGTATAAGTTGTTAAGGGTTAGATGAGAATGAATTTGGGAAGCAACAGTTTTTTCAAGGATTTTGGAGAGGAAAGGTAGGTTGGAGATGGGACGAAGATTATTATAATTATAAGGGTCAGCACCAGGTTTTTTCAATATTGGAGTGAAGTTTTGAAGAGTGTAGGAACAATTCCAGTGGAGAGTGAGGAATGGATGATGGCAGAGATGAGGGGGAGGAGAGAAGGGAGGCAGGCTTTCACCAGAACTGTGGGGAGGGGATCTAACTGACAGGTGGAGGACTTGGACTTTAGGATGAGGTCTGAGATATCTGAGTCAGAGGGGAGCTGAAAGAAGGAGAATGAGAGAGACGTCAGACAGGGTTCAGGCGAGGTGCTGAGGGAGGAGCTTGGGCCTAGGTGCAGGTGGATCTGATGAATTTTCTGATTGAAAAAGGACATCAGGGAGTTACAGAAAGCAGTTGAGTACAGATGGAGAGGGAGAGAGGCCGGGGGTCTGAGAATATTGTTGAGAAGAGAAAACAGTGACTTGGAATTACCTTTATTTGAACAGATTATGCCAGAGTAGTAATTGAGTTTGGTTTGAGAAATGCAGTCCTTATATTGTAAAATGTGATTTTTCTGCATGTCTTTGTGAACAAGCCCAGTTTCCTTGTACAGTTGCTCAAGCTGTCGACCTTTGGCTTTCATCTGCCGTAGTTCGGAAGTGAACCAAGGGGCAGAGGTGGAGAAGGAGACAGACCTGGTTTTCATAGGAGCGAGAGAATTAAGAATGGTGTTGAGGCCATTGTTGAAGTGGGAAGCCAAGTCGTCGGGGGTGGATGAATTGTGAGTGTTCAGGAGACAGCTGATACCAGAGGAAAGTGCATCAGGATTAATTTTCTTAATGTTAGGGAATGAGATAACACGTGGGGGCTTTGTTGAGGACAGAGTGAGTTTGACATTGAACGACAGAAGCAAATGATCAGTTATAGGAAGTTCATCTGCAGTACGGTTGGAGGGAATGAGACCAGAACAACAGACTAAATCCAGAATGTGACCCTTTTGAATGAGTGGGAAAGTCAATATGCTGCTGGAAGCCAAAGCTGTCAAGACAGGATGCAAAGTCACTGGTTAGAGGGAGAGTTTAGTGGTACAGATTAGTGTAATGCCTGTATGACTCCAAGCACAATGCTAAAGACACGTCAGCAGGGCACAGGTGAATTCAAATAAACACATATCTAATGTAGAGTATGTAATGAACACAGCTAGAGATGCAATCACAAGTGTACTGATATTGACATTATATTGACGTAAAACGTGAATGCTGTCAGCAGTAGGAAGGACTCATACAGAAGCTTCAATCAAAGCAAGCAAAACCTACATTATGACCGAGTGGATCCTGATGTCGTAACCGCATTCATTTCAAAGTCAAACCTTATTTGGAGGTACAGGTTGTGCTCTTTGTGTGCTTCCTGTGTGGATCGGAGCAGCATACTAAACACTGAGCTGACAGCACAGTCCAGCTCTCAGAACAGAATAGTAATGCTCCTGACTCAGATTTCACTGAGATCTGGTGTTGAGTGCACCACTAATCCCCAACAACATAGCTCGGCTTCATCAAATGACTTTTTTGATTGATTTCCTTCCTTGCAGGCTGCCACTGGCAGCTGGTAGTTTTCATGTTTTTTCCCCACCTTAAACTTATTATCTCGCTCGCAAGTAATATTGCGTGGTTGTGCAGTTGTATGCAGTGATTTTAAAATGCAGGTGAGTTTAAGGAAGGCCGACAGGTGACCTTACAAAATTAAATGCTGTAAAGCATTGCTTTCAAGAGTGGTGTTATCAGAAAATGGAACACAGAAATACAATAATGGAACTAAAAGAGTAATGTAAATTTGGTTATTTCTTCTATTGAAAAGTCTTGTTTCCAGCAAGTGACTCTGAAGCCTCAGAGCTTACATCAGCAATCATCAGAAACTGTCTGATTAACAAGACTGAGTCTGACCAGACATTTAGTGCCAGCAGTTTTTGATACTCTGTGCTACAGCCACCTTTCAATCAGTGCCAAGAAAGCATTATGGTCCAGGAACCAGCACTAACAAAAAAGGGCAGTGATCAGTTCTTGAATTGACATTGTGAAATGAGCTGAAACCACTGGCAGTCTGGGGGGAAGGAAACCAGTTGCAAATCACATGCAATACTTTGGAAAATGTTTGGCTGTATACATGATTTACAGTGAATGGGGTAAACCATGCAGTACTGGCAACATGTTCTGTAAATGAAGCCTTAAAACCACTAGAACCTTTTCAGAAGCTCCAGCTATTTCAGACGCACCAGTGGCCATCGTGGAGCATCAGACTGCTTTGATCATCTCAAGTTCTATTTTTGCCATCTTTCAGAACACTTACGAGTTGCTTTAAAGGTGCAGTGTGTAACATTTAGGAGAATCTTTTGGCAGAAATGGAATCGAATATACTATAAAATATATATGTATATATATATATATATATATATGTAGGTGTTTGTTGCTTTTATCTACAGACAGGTACATTAGCTGCAAACGTTAGCATGTCTGTAGCTTATTTCCTATAACCAAGGAGCATTTCACACTACCTTAATTGGTGTGGTTACAGATTATGTAAGAAAAGAAAAACCTTCACAAAAGCACATCCACTGTGTAGCATCAAAGTTTAGGCTAACCTTAGCGACTCTGTCCTGCTCTTTATTGGATTTGGGGAAGTTTACACTCCAGCTCCACCAATGCTTCATGCTTTGTCAGGTCTGTCATCTTCTGAAAGGAGTTCAAGTTGATCAGGGCTATGCTGTTCGAACTTAGTTCATAGTAAGGTACAGCAGTTTCTCTATGTCTTTGTCCTCTCGTGTTGGACTGATTGCAGGACAGGACGGGGCTGGCTAGCTTGCTAACTGTAGCAGAGATCTCTGCAACACAATGCGTATACGTCTTTGACGTAACGTCTGAACTTCTTCTTCACATTCTGTTGATAATGTTTGCCATATTTTATTATTACATATTACCCAAGGTACCTTTTTAAGTGCATTAGAGCCTCAAGCAAGAGAGAGATCATCTCACTTTGTTAGTGATTCACTACAAGACCTAAATGGAGGGAAAACAATATTTTGCGGTGTGTACTGATTTTGTAATCTTACCCATGTCCAATCCCTAACAATTTAACTTGTTTGGATTTGCATGCAGCTCTTTTCTCCATGAGAAAGTGTCAATCGACTGTAGAAAATCTGAGAGTTAAACAATGTCTGAAGGTTTGCAGTTACTTCATACACATAGAAAACTGATTTTCACCCCATAATGCTGTTTTTGAATGATGAAAAATGCAGTGAGACAGGGAGAAGTGGAGGCAAATAAGAAGCAGCCTTCAGAGTAAGTGGTTTGGCTGTGAGGTGATGCATGCTGGGATCCACTGAGTATAGTGGAGAAGTCAATATAAACCACTAATGGTGCACACCCAGTGCCCTGGCACAGCTGACAGGGCCTTTAATAACCATCGACTCCCACTGTCACTGTTTCTCATTTTGTCTGTACCCATCTTCCCGCTGTTTCTCAATCTCTCTCTGTCTTTGCACCGCTCTCTGCTCCATTCTAAATTCAACAATCTGGTTTGAATTTCCCATTTTCCCTCACTGGCTTGCTTATAAACCAGTATTATGTTTTACTTAAAGTTCCCCCAAGTCTTTTCCATCTAACAAAAGAACATCTGTGCTGTTTTTTGGGGTAAATACTTGGAGAGGTGTTTGATGTAACTGAATTAGGCACAGATACCCTTGTCAACAGCAAAATTAAATTGGACTTTGTAAAAGCGGTGGGATCTGGAAAAGTTGTTTTGCATTCAGCAGAAATGCGGCTTCGAAGGAGTGAATAAAAAATGCTCGACTCGCACCCGAACGAGAGGATAAAACCTTATCTCATATCGCTCATGTTTAACCCCGGTGAGCTGTTGTGTTGCTTTGAAGTACGACACATCTGGGACCGGTTAAAAAATCTGCAAATGACTTATCAAACAGATCTGACATCTTGACACAAAGTTAGTCAGAACAAGATATCTGTCATAAATTCAGAAAGGGAAGGCAGATAATGGTTTTTGCACAGCCAGAGTCATATTTCACTGTCTGAACCAAACGGCTGCACAAGGTTGATTTTCTTTCCATACGCACGTGTTGCTGCTCTCGTGTCTTTCTGAGATATCGGGTGGAGCTTTTGTTTGTGTTCATCTCTTGCTGTGACTCCACTAGCCAGATTTTAGCTGTGCTTTGGTCTGTGTGGCTTACTAAGATGGACTCCCCTCTCTGTAAACCCCAGGCCGGATCCAACCGGGCCAAGCTTGTGTCATTAGTTGGCTTAATTTGTGTGCAGGCGACGATGAAAGAGATGTAACTGATTTTAAAGCTGTTGTGGAAAATAATTTTCTGTTTCAGTTTATGGTGATGTTACAGAATCAATATCAGATTTTCAAATCATTGTGGTTGGGGAAACAATAAGTCTTTGTCTGACATTTGTTGGAAAATGTTTTGGTCACACATAATTAATCATGATGTTGTTGATGAAGTCAATTAAAATGGCTGCTCTACTCTATATTCAATCATTCACTCACCCGCTCTGTCTTTCCTTCCCCCTGTGTAGGAGTGGGTGGCAACTTGGTGGCCATCCAGGCCAGTAGGATCTCGACCTACCTGCACTTCTGGACCATCCCAGGGGTGCTGCCCTACAAGATGAGGCAGCACTGGCCCAATCCCTGCATCACCTTTTTCTCCTCAGGTAACACTGCCATGCTGGACGCATACCTTGGCATCTACTGTATATACATAAAATCGAAGGTATTTAAACCTCAACTGTCAATAAGAGCGACTGGAGAAAACAAGCACGTTGTTGATAATTTACTCTCTAAAGCGAACTCATTCCACTTACTACTGCATTCATTATGCATTCATGCATGCACACAGTCTACTCTGTGTTCGGGTTCCTCCTTAAAGTTGCACTAATCAGTATTTTTATTTTAACATTGGATCAACTGACTTTTTAGCATCTTTCAGCTCATTGTTTTGGTTTACTGCGCAAAACTTTACTGTTTCCCTTTAGTATCATTTTCAGCAAAACAGTTCATTAAACCCACTGCACACTACCTACCCAAACCCAATACCCATATTTTCCAATAAACATTAGAGGAGAATATCGTCAGGAGGCCAGAAAGACGACTCCAGACAGATGCTAAAGCTGATCCTGATTCTGCTGCATGTGTAAATTGGCAACTTTAGCAAACACATTTGTTAAAACAACTTTATAAGTTGATAAAATGGCAGGTGTTGTGCTTTCAGCTTGTTCTGCTTCCTCAAATTGGCCAAAAAATAAAATGGTTTAGTCATCCCAACAGCATTAAATTGGAAACAGCATATGAATTCCTCTGTTGGAGTCTAACCACTGGTGGTTAAAGAACAGTTGATATCATTTTTGATAACCAGCGAGACCTTTTTCTGGACGTCTTAAAGGCTGGACGGCTTGTTGACAGTGAGTGCTTTGATATGTGTATTATTGACTTATTATTGATATGAAATCCATATCCAGGTTTCTCAAAACCAGAATACGATGTTTATATGCACAATACATAACCTGGATACTCCAAAAACCTGATCATAACCAGGATACTAGTACACAAGTAAAGGCACTCAGTGTGACACTTGAAAATTAAACCATTTTTGAACATGAAAACAATGCAGACAGCAAAATCCAAGAATAAAGTGATCATACTACTAAAATATAGTAACCTGCCTGAATACAGTTTTTTCTGTGTCTCCCAGGGGTGAACTCAAAGTCAGCAAGGGTGCTTCTGATGCTGGTTATTCCCGGTCACCTGGTCTTCCTCTACGCCATCTCTCTGCTGCAGGGAGAGGAGGCGCCTATCTCTGTAGCCTTCACCGTCTGCTACCTGTGTGCCGCTCTGATACAGGTAAACTGATGCAACCTCACACACATTCTCTCTTTATATTCCAGTCAATGGTAGTTAATACCGAATGCTTTCTCATGAACCTATTGGCCTTCAGTTGGCCTTGAAGTTTCACATGACACTCCGATACAAACTGTGGAAACCAGTCATCAGAAGGTAAGACTTTGTACAGTGGGATAAAAATGGCTGCTGCCACCTGTTACCTAACTGTGAAATGACCGGTGCCAGGTGTTGGTGTTTCAGCGGCTCAGTGACAGAACCAAAAGTACACCGCAGTCCTGCCACGGTCACCTTTCTGAACTCCTCAACACGTCATCTCAGCTGTGAATGTTTGTAAAAAGCTGAGACTCATTAAACACACAATGTTTGATGTTTTTGTATCCTTTGGATAGTCAGTGACTGTCTGGCAACCTCTGTAATCTCTTGGAGGTTGGAATAAGTCGTAGATTTATTTATCTGCCCGAGTCCAGAAAAGCTGACTTAGATTTTGAATGATTTCACTGCTCGGTGAGCTTGGTTGAGATCACTTGCCTAGATAAAATAACACACAGAACAGGCAGGTACAGAGAGAAACACACTTAGACATATAGTCCAGTGGTTGGTCAACCTTTCTTTGTCTGACGTACACCCTCAGCCCTATCTATAACTGGATATTATGTAACACTATGAAGTGGAATGTGAAGTGAATTGAATTGTCACTGTGTTCATGCTATTTGGAGTGACAGGAGCTGGACAGTTCAACCATCCATCCATTACTTTGAACTGTCTATTTAAACTGGTTATACATTACTATAAACAAACTACAGGGTTGCCACAAGTCTGGAAAGTATTTGAAATTACTTGGATTTAGCCTACCAGAATCTCAGTTAGAGACCTCTGTGCTCCATCATCTTAACATTCACCTGTAATACCATTTTTATCCACCTGGAGCGCTGTGCCAAGCTGGATACACTTTCTTCCGATCTATCACTCTCCACATAGGCTACACACATACAGCGATGTGCTGATCACTGTGCCGTGTCGTTGGTTGTTGTGCTCTCTCGTAGGTCGTCCTACTTTAATAATGCTGCATTGTTTAGGTCAGTAAGGCTAGGTAGAAGTGTGTAAAACATGGAATAGTCAAAGATAGGATAGTTCGACGAGTTGTTGTTTGTTTAACCCGTATTTTCCATACCTATTCCTTAAAGAAATAGCTGTAATGTTTTTTTATGAGGCATTTATTTTAAAGATTTTTTTCAGCACATATGACAAATTTTCTAACATAAAAAATATTTTGTCAAAGCCTTTCTGGGTTGTTTTTTTCTCTAACAGCAGCTTTTTCAGCTCAGTTTTCTTCTCCCTCTAGGTGGCCATCCTCCTTTACGTTGCCGACCTCATCATCCGTGTGATGTGGAGACGGAGTCTGGACCCAGACAACTTCTCCATCCCTTACCTGACCGCCTTGGGGGACCTGCTAGGCACCGGCTTTCTGGCCCTCTGCTTCCGTTGCGTCTCACTGGTTCAGAGCCTGGGTCTCTGAATTTGTCCCCCTTTACCACTGAACTTTTAGCTGTCTTATCTGTCTTGTTGCACCAATTTTGTTACATTTACACAGAGATGCTTTTGATCGGACAATAAAGCATTTTCTGATGGTTATCACCGGGCCAGTTAATACTGAGGAATCTGTCTTTGTCACAAATTCAAACCTTTACAGTGATGAGACGCCACAGGTGACACCCATCCATCTGGGTAAAGGGTTTGCTGTCTGAACACGTCCAGTCAATCTAATTTAGTTTTAGTTCTCTGTCCTTCAGAGCGTCTACTACAGTATATTGAACTTTATTTGATCATTCCTCTTTATCTGTCTGTCTTTTAGATTTCCTGACTAAATATGAGTGGTGGCCCTGTGCTCACCTCGTCTGTCAGTTCATCTCTTTGGCTTCATCAGAGGAATATGTAGCAACTTTGCATCATAGCAGCAAGGCTGAGCATTTGGTCTGCTTGTGGACACTTTTGGACTTGTGGATAGAACAAACAGACTTGAATCGGTCCATGTTTTGGGTGGGCTATACTATGCATTGATGGAAGTTGACGTATGTAGTACACTAACTGGAATTTTGGAATCATGATGACTTATTTAGAATGAATGAGACAGGTTTCGTTTTCATGAGAAATCCGGTTACGTACCTGTAACACACCGGAATGTTTTATCATCACATGAAAAATCCTCAATCTTTTCATATCGTTTACTGCAAGTTCATTTTTGAGGTACTGTAACAGAAGCAAACAGACAGAAGGGGGTAATTGATAATTCCATGACCAAAGGACAAATGGCATGGCTGCACAGTGGAAGAAGACGATATCAGTGCATGTAATGGGAGTTTGTGTCATTCACGTGCAATGGAATCACCTCTGACCTGACAGTGTCACGGCGTAGAGAACGGTACAAAGCGGTTCCACCTTAAACACTGAAGTGGACACTGATCTGAAGGTGCAGATTCATCATTAGTTGGTATACTATGCCTGAAAATGGTAGATAACATGTTTGGTTGCTGTGTTTGTTGGAGAATTTTTTTGTGAAATGAGGTGAAGGGCCAAACAGAACTGACCACAGACCGTTTGACTGTAGGAGGGAGGGTATCCACCAGCAAGTTCTTGACAGCTACAAATTTGTATGTATCTAGAATCCCTCCTGTGATGGCACCTACTGACGTTCATACTTAAAATAGAAAGTTTGCCCTGAATAGTGGGAAAAAAAGCTACTAAAAGCTTAAAGGAACTATACAACATTTTGGGAAATACACTTATTCACGTTCTTGCTGAGAGGTAGATAACAAGATTAATACCACTGTTGTGTCTGTATGCTAAATATGAAGCTACTACTAGCAGTCGGCTAACTTAGCTTAGCATAAAACTGCTGGAAACTGCCAGCCCGGTTCCCTCCGAAGGAAACAAAATACGCCTACCAACACCTTTTAAGGCTCACTAATTAACACTTAGTAATTTTAACGCTTCTGTTTTTGTACGACTTAAACAAATTTGATTCAATTTGCCGTATTACAGTTGTGTTGTTTTTTTTATATGAATTAAACAAATGAGATATAACATGTTAATTAGTGAGCTGTGTTTGTAGGCAGATTCTGACAATGCCAGGCTAGCTGTTTATCCCTTTTTCCAGGGGCATGCTAAGCTCAGTTAGTCATGTACTGGCTTTAGCTTCATACTTAGCATACAAACATGGACATTGTTATCAATCATCTCATCCAACTCAACAAGAAAGCAAATAAGAACATTTTCCAAAATGGCTCCAACTTTTTCTTTGAGGTTTGTAATAGCATCTGCTCATGTACAAATCATGTGGTACCAAATGCGCTGAGCAAACATCTCTGACAGCTGTTCCTTTTCCAAGTTTCATAGCAAGTCACCAAAATACCAAACAGGTGAGAGAGGGACCTATGTGTATCCTGTAAAAATCCAGATCCATCACAAAAACAGATTGTCTCATATGCAGATGATGTACTACTTTTCGTTGCACATACAGTCGATATATATGAGCTAATTAATGTGGCACTTGCAAACAATAGAGTAATAATTATAAGCAGTGACACTGTTTTTTCAGATTCTGTATCATGCTAGAAATTGTTGCCCAGACACCTAAAAAATAATGTTCCAACGCACTGTGAAGCCCAGAAAATGTGTCCTCACCTCTCTATTTGTATAGCAGTCTCAATATTTAAAAAAGCATTTTGCAATATTTTATTTATTTTAAATTTTATGCTGCTACTCAATTTAAAAAAACAACAAAACAAACTGCAGTGAACTGTTGCAGAAAACCTCTATATTTGTTTTACCCATCGGCCCAGCTTTGTGTTACATCGGCTGTGTAGCTGCAGAGGATCTTGGGAATTCCCTCACTACTTGATACTGATAGTCCCTTTAATGGAGGTTCAAAAAGCCTTACTGTTTGTTGTCAGAACCATAAAACCTCATCATTACAGCAGTGAGTGCATGTACATGCATATGTTCATTTTACAGGCGTGTTCAGACAGAAAGTAAAGCAAATTTTCAGCTTACATAATTCGCACTAATTTGACCACTGGGCCGTTTGTTTTCTGACAGACTGAATCCAGAACTCCAGTTATATTTCCACCACTTACTTTCTTGCCTCTGTACGTTTTTAATGTCTTCACACCAATCTACGCCACTTTGGTCAAATTCGTGTGTAATTGCCCCATGTCTTAAATTTGCTTCTCATTCTGTCTAAACACACAGTAACACAGTATAAAAACACAGTTTAACATTTAAAGTCATGTTTAAGCGTAAATGAGCTTCGTCTCAAAGATTTATCCGATTTCTGAAAATAACACAGTACACAACACAAATGTGTGTGTAAATGCACTCATGAAGTCACAGAACATTTTTGCTGTTTGCTGTTACTAGTGTTTTTAGAGATAATCACTGAAATCTGAGGCATTTCTAAAAGCAGCCTGTCTTGTCAATAATCTTCTTGTCAAAGTATTTCAGTGTTAATAGTGCTTTGCTAAAAGCTTTTATTGTGACACTGTTACACAGTACTTTCTACACTAGAAGGTAATCAAATATGGAAATGTACTATTTGAATCACAGTTTATTTCTGAGCTTACTGTATGAGATCTATGTGTTTACTGTGATACTGTGAGAACTAGACCACAGCTAGTTGTACCAGCACATTAGTGTGTCTTAATCAGTAGGGCTGGACAATATATCATTGAATCTGTATCACATTTACATAGATAACGATTGTAATAACCTTTTTTTAATACACCATTACAATCATTTCCCTCACATCTGATGTTTGACCAAATTAATTACAGTCTGACCAGTTAAAGAGTCTACTGGACTAGACTTGTTGGTCAGTTATCTGTTTAGTTAGATGTCGTAGTTTGATCTAGCTACTCTTACAGGTCCAGTGTGTAACATTTAGGAGGATCTATTGGTAGAAATGGAATATAATATTCATAGGAATGTTTCACTGAAAATAAGAATCCTGTTTTCGTTACCTTAGAATGAGCTGTTGTTATCTACAGAGGGAGCGGGTCCTCTTCTACAGAGTCCGCCATGTTGAACCGCCATGTTTCTACAGTAGCCTAGAACAGACACTGGCTCTGCAGCCACTGTTGATTCTCTTACACACTTGGAAGGTGATATTCAATGGGTTGCAATCTGCAACTTCATCACTAGGTGCCACTAAATCTTACACACTGGACCTTTTAAAGTAGATATATGGAAGTCAGATACTTTATTTGAAGTTCTGATGATTAAATTCATGTTGGTAATAATGACAGTAATTAAAAAGAATAGTTAAGTGTTTTGGGAAATATGTTTATTCATCTAATTTCCAAAACTTGGAAAAGCCAGGCTAGCTGTTTCCTCCTTCAACAAATCTTTATGCTAAGCTAACTGCCTGCTGGCAGTAGCTTCACATTTAGCATACAGAATCAAGAGTGGTGTCAGTCTCTTATCTAAATCTTGGCAAGACAGTGAATAAGCGTATTTCCCAAAATGTCTAAATATTCCTTCGAAAAATGTGGTTTATCATCCAGCCCTATTTGGTATTAAGCAGTCCTTCCAGGATTTTGGTGGACTTTTTTGGGGGGTTGATTGTTGCAGCCTAAAATATCTGATTTCACGGCAGTTTTTCTTAAAAGATTACGATGCATGTTGCGATGTTTTTAAGTATTTTTTTGCAGTGGAATTGCAAGAAAGTGAAAATGTAAATTCTTTTTGTATAATTCATTAAAATTCGAAGGCAACTTGTTCTATTGAGAATAACATCACCAGTAATTTGGTGACGTATGGCTCGACGTTTTGCATGACGATGATGAAACTCGCCAGAAACTACGCTGATTGGTCAAATATGCAAAAAAGTTGCGGTGATTAGACAAAATTGCAAGATAGAATTTGCAATAACTGTTGCAGTCGAAACATCGCAACTTCCTGGAGGGACTTATAATGTAAAAGAGTGTGGTGGCAAAATACCCAATTGCAAACCTGCACTTTTGTTTTAAAAGTAGTCTAAAGTTGCCTTGAAAACAAAGTTAATGTCTACTGTGTCTTATCTAAAACCTCCCCATCTACAGCCATGTCAATGTCAAAACAATAGTAGCTTTATTTAAATGTTGCAGTCCTTTCTCTTTTGCTTTCTGTAGGCAAACCTTTGTACTGTACTTCAATGTTAACACTGCCACATTAAGACTTTAGGGGCTTTTAAATGCCTTTATTTTCTAATCTTGCTGTGTTCACTGTCACCTGAGCTTCCACACCTACATGTTATGTCTTGTCTTGTGTGTGCTCAAAAATGAAGTGTGGAATCTAAAAATGTGACAAATGTTTGGTGAGTGATTATGTAATTTTGTGGCTATGAACAGTTATATTTTAATAAAAATAAACAGTGTAATGACATCCGTGTTACTTTGACATCATCACCAAACTCAGCTAAAGACACAGCATGTATAGACTTTTATATTTCTTACTGAGTTGCCATCAAATGCACCAGCAATGCATTATGTAAAGGGTGGTACATTGCGATAAACAGCAGGTGGTGCTAATTCTCCAGTCGGGTGCCATTAAACCTGCACAAGAAGAAGACACACTAACGATGATGTAATTGAAAGAGTGGCAGTCAGGCATCAAACAGTGGAAAATAATGTAGAAATGTTTGATTCATGTATTAATTTGAGAAAGGTTACGGCCTCCTCATCATCACTCCACACAGATCTGAAGTTTTTGTCGGCTGCCTTTTTTTTTTTTTTTTTTTTACTTCAGTGGAGCGTTCTTAATTTCTTTTCACAGTTTGAGGTTTGACTGGCGCTCTTTTAATTCTTATTGCGCCCTCTTCTTCTGGTTCTCTGGACGGAGAATTGCCTCCACCTGTGTGCTTATCTCGATGAACGTTAAAAAAACTGTTCAATTCGCTCACAACTGGAAGTTTTTTTTCCAGATTATTTTTCAGCTGCAGGACTCAACTCCTGGGAAAGACTGTTTTTCTTCCAAGGATGTCTTGTTCATCCAGTACTGCAACCACTCATAAGCACTGTGCTGAGGAAAACAAGTTCATCTTTGTCCTGTCTAACTCTGTGGACAGCTTCCCGTACCATCACAGGGGGAAAAGCTGCCTTTGGGAGGATGTCTCAGAGTCTGACTAACTTTGTTTGTAACAAGAAACAAGAATATAACACACAGACTCAGTGCAGCTGTTAAGGGATTGTATTTGTTGAAACGTCAAAGTAACCAGCCAGTCAATCATCATCACCATCAGCAAGTGCACTTCACTTATCAAGTTATCACATTCACAGTTTTTTCTGGCAAAGGCAAACCAGTGCGTGACAGATTCTTGTAGATTGTGCTCTGTTCCCTATTTCACAATGACTCACAAAGTCACAGGTCTGACCAAAGTAACATTTCTACAGAAACGGCTGACTAGCTGTGTTTATACACAGCAGCGTCTGGTTGTTTAAAATGGATATACAGTCTGTTTTATCCCTTTGAAAGAACAAGCTACTTGTTATTCTCTATTTTCCAGGAGAAAAAAAAAAAGAAATGAAAAGGTAAAACATATATTTTGTGCAGCGTGTCATTGAGCCAGCAGGAAGAAAAAACATGAAGGGTGTGATTGGGTTTTGGCGAGTCACATCTTCTTGCAAGTGATGGCTTAAATCACACACTGCTACACAGGGGAGCATTAAAATGAAAATCCTCTAATCCATGGCTGTAATCATAGCCAAACAGAAAAATCAAATGTGGCATAAGCATGATGGCACACATTTTAAAGAGGAAGTCACTTATAAAGATACAGCTTTAACACATTACAGATACTCACACACAGATATTGCACTTCTCAGCATGAATACAGGCAAAAAAAACATAAAAGCAATGTTTCCAGAGTGGGCCAGCCTGGGCCCATTTTCTTACGCAATATTTTACAAAAGAAATCTGGAAGAAAAATAAATGACTAATTGCTAGTTCAGTGCCAGGATGTCTTGACAGGCACTAACACAATTGTGCACGCTTTTTAAGCTAAACTGGAACTAATGTCCAGACTGCGGGACATGAATGAAAATGATTACTTTTGTTGTTTTGAGGTGAATCCTTGTTATTGTTGAGGATAACTAGCTATGTCGGGTCCCTATTAATGCCAGCATTCAATGTTTTCAATTCATCCAGGCCAGATTGGTGTCCTGATAATCAGGGTAGCCCCAGGATGTTCTGAGTCAGAGCTTAACAGTGATGAGTAGACTGGAAACAGTCACTCGTTACAATTGGAAATGGTAGGAATTATTAGAAAGAGCATAGCTGAGTTGCTGTATGGCTGTTGTCTTCATTTTTAAACAATTTGACCTAATGAGGATCCGACTGGGTAAAAGGAGTTCCTCACAAAACAACAATAGGCCCACTGACAATATCAGTGTAGCCAAAAGGGTGTGAGGCTAGGGTGAGATTTTATGGTAAAACTTTATTTATGGGTCCATTATTCCCCAGTAAATCCCTAGCAGTTCTTCTGGAAAGATGTAATTTGTTACTGATCATAGAAAAAGCAGAAAGAAAATTCTGAAACTCTTTTTTTTTAGAGTTTAGAGTTTGGTTAGTTTAGTTCAAAAGCAGTAGGTGATTTCCAGGGGATTTAATCAATGTCATTTCTGTTCCTATTGATGTTTGCTCTGTTATGTACCCTGGGGGGTCTTTGCTGCTGCTCTCCTTGTCTCAAGCTTTCCATTGTATGCACATGGAAGGGGGTCCCAGAACATACTGCATTTGGAAATAAAGTCTGCTTTTGACAAAAGTGATCCTGACTGAACTACTTCCAAGAAATGATGGCGAACACCACCAATATAGCATTAACATTGTCAGACTTGTGATGGACAGTTTTTCTTCCCTGACGGTTACATTGCCCACAATGCAACTCAACCACCATCAGTTTGATCGGAGAGTCGTTGTGTTATGCTAGTAGCGGCTAATGTAACTGCACACCCCACAGATCTTTTTCCTTTTCAGTCTTGTCTCCCAACTGAGGCTGACTCAAGTGACATCACTTAAAGGCAATTGATCACACAGCTCCTTCTGGAGCCACAAAAGGATCTGTACAACTTTCTTCTCACAGTAGAACACCCAAAGACCCGTATATGGGCTACTATGTGTAAAATCGGTGGAGTTCCCCTTCAATTATTTTCACAGTACAGGCCATTAATAAATATTTTCCTACATTACCCTCCGTATTATTTACCGTAAATTCCATCCCATTTGCTGAACAAGGCCCTGCAGTGGAGATGACTGTAGGTGGATTAACCCTTCAGGTGCCTGCATTCACCCTAACAAGGAGAGCTCTGACCGGGGGCAGTGCTGGGCTGGGCCCAGCCCTGACCACAGCTATGTGGTTGTTTGTTCAGCCTACCTGCCCAGAGCTAAATGCAGACAGTGATAGAGGAGGGATGGCAACAAGCTTTCACTGGAATTAAGGAGTGACTGCAAGTTTGCCTGGGGGTTATTCTCAGATTTCAGATAGTGTCAACGAGTGCTGTGACAAGTCTGACAAGACAAGCCCAGGGAATCTTGTTTGAACTAGGGTTTGATCAGAGAAGAGGAAAAGAAAAAAAAGAGTAGGATAGGATGATTTCTAAATTGTCCGGAGCATTTCTATTTGGCATGAGTTTACGTGCAAAAGCCAAGACAGCAGGTAACTTTCCATGCAACAAAAATTCACTCTACAAAAGAGAAACCCTTCCCTTCTTCCATATAAAATTCATTTTCACCAATCATGAGCCCAAATTCTTGCTACCACATGATTTCCATAACAATAAATACTTTATGCGCTGACGTACATAAATAAAAGCCATCCAGTTATTGTTGTGCTGTAGGTGCTTTGAATGAATCTGCTGTGTTTGGCTTCACAGTCAGCACATTCACCTATCCATGCAAGAGGAGGACCTGCTCCTCTGAAGTGTGATTTTCATTTATTGCTCATTAGTTCTTAGAAAAATAAGCCATGATAAAAGCTTTAGTGTAGTGGGCACCGCAGGGAGGCTGGTATGGCATATTACACCCAGTTGACGACCACATGTAACAAAAACTAAAAGCCAAAGACAGATTTGCTCCATTTCTAGGTGAATGGCAATTAGGCGAATGAAAAATAAATACTTTTTTTAATTCTAACTGAACCTGAAGCCCAGATAGAAAGGACAGTTCATGTGTCACCTGCATTTTCAAACACATTCTGGGATCGTCCGCATTCTCTTCTGCTAAACGTCAAAACAATACCCACTTTTCACACTTTGGAAAGCAAATATGACAAATGCTTGTATCACGGCACAAACTGTCTGCCTTTCCTTCTTAGGAAGAAATTGGTTCCATTTGCAAAGTTCCATTCACTGAAACCAGAAAATCTAGTTTTTGTTGGAGAGTCATAGCGACAAGTCTGTGCTTGTGACGAACAACTCAGGCAGGGATGAAAATTGTACAACCAAAAAGTGCAAAATGATCCATCACTGACAAAAAGTCTTGACCGGGATGTGAAAGGTGTGACCTATTACAACAGGTCCATCCGCGGTACTGATTGTTAACCCTCTTCCTCTCCACCCCTCATCAAGTCCTGAGGTACTCTGGCGTGGAGTAGTTGAAGAGCATGAAGTCCATTCGATACAGGTTGAACAGTTTCTTCTGATAAAAAGGACTGATGTGCTTGAAGAAGCGTGCCGCCATGTTGCCATCAGTGCTGGTCCTCTTGCCAGACGTTGGAAATTGGAGTTTTCCCTCCACTCCAGCCAACCTGAGCACAGCCTGAGCATCTGGCACCAGAGTCTCGTACTTCCCCACTACATCGTAGTGGATCAGGCAGGGGTGGCAGAGGGAGTGTACCCGCTCCCAGTGCTCGTTAAACGGTCCCTCCCGTTGGGTCCGAGGGTCCACGAGGTACTGGACAAACTCATGGAAAGAAACGTCGTTCCCCATCTCCAGCGCTTCAGGTTCCGGGTCGGGCCGGTGCCGGCGGATGATCTTGGTTCCGTAGCGCTTGTGGAAAGCAGTGTTGTAGCTACGGGTGAACTTGTTCCGGTAGGCCGACACCAGGCGCTCGAAGGGCTCCCGCACAAAGATAAATTTGAGGTAGCTGCGAAGGCGTTTATTGATCTCGGGGACAGAAAACTCGGAAAGCGTGCGGAGGTTACCTGCCACGTGGGCCTCGTTCGCTGGGATGGCAAGGGGGTCGGTGTAGCGGCCGTCACTGGTGAGGACCATAAGGACACGCTTCCAATTGGTGCAGGCTACCTAGAAGTGATAGGAAAAGAGGAGGAAATTATTTCAAGCCCCAAAATCCATTCATACATCTTTTATAACTGAAACAAACTCTCAGCAATCTGAACTAAAAGATTTTATTACTTATATAGCAAAATATTTTGTAGTCTGGAACGGAGGTTTTCAAACTCTGACACTGTGACAACTATCACTGGATTACTTTGATACTCCAAACGTGATAATTCTCAGGCAAGTTCTGCAGTTATAAACAGTGATTTCTGAGCGGATTTATAGAAGTTTATTTGCAATGAACATCAGAGATACTATGTGCATCATGTCTACGTATTCAGACCCCCCACCCACCTCACAGTTTGAAAACCTTCAGATGCACTACTTGATCTCATGGTAACCAACCTTGGGTACATAGCAGTAAATAAGGCTGTGTTTATCATCCACAATGAGGTGCTTGAGATCCTCAGGCGAAAGCACCTGCCGCTTCCTCGTGTGGCTCAGACATGCCTGCTCCAACAGCTCCCTGCGGCCTTGGAGGGACCTCTGAGCTGACAACAGCTCCAGCTGCTTGTAGGGATGTGATCAGGACGATGCAGGGGACCAATCAAAAAGGGCCAGAATGGGTGATTGGGCAAGGGAGAAGCAGAAATAGAAAAACTTTTTAAAAATTGTTGCAGGCAAGTTGTGTGTCCAGAACAAATGCTACAACCAGTGCCATTGAAAAAGAATGAAACAATAGTTTAGAGACAAATTAAGGTGGTGGTAAACTGTGCAGCCCTAATTTTCTCCCAATGACTCAGCAAACCTAACTTTATGGAATTGTTACACTAAATCCCTGGAATACCCATTCAATCCTGCCACCTTGATGCACGAGGTTTGGTATCTGTGCTGCCTTGATATGTCTGCTTCTAGCGTTATGAGTGGAAATTGTGAGAAGGCTTTGTGTGTTCTTTATTCCATTGTCATAAAATGACTCTGGCTCCAATCTGAACTCAGAAATGCCTTTGAATCACTTCCCAAAATCATATCCAATCAACCTTAAACTGTATGTGACAATAAGCATCATAAGATATTCAGTGTTCAGGTACTATACTTTTTTCCCCTCCAATGTCAGTAATGTTTCTGTGGCTCACATCTGCAAAAACCTCAAACCTGGACAACTAAATTGTGGTACAAAGGCAGCTGCCTCTAGACTTTAATATCTGTCTTTTTTAAGGCGTAAGAAGCAAATGTAAAATGTAATGTCAGCCTTGCACAAATTGATGTTTTATGTGTGTTCTCACCTGGTCCCCATTGTAGAGGGTCTGCAGTGGACTTCTCCTGCTTTTCCCTGGACTGCTGCCAGTCTTCACACCAAGTTCTACAATTAGAAAAATACATCAAAAATCCAAGTGATTACAGCTGATGCAGCAAAAAACACAATTTAAAGGACCTGCGTGTAGGATGTAGTGGCATCTAGGGGTGAATTAGCAGACTGTAAGTAACTGGCATCTGTATTTGTCGACCTGGGAATGAGAACGGGCTGTAAAGTGTGTAGGAGAAACTACGGAGGCCAGGAAACTTACAAAAAATGTGAAAGACCCAATTTAGAGCCAATGTTTGGTTTGTCTGTTCTGGGCTACTGTAGAAACATGGCGGTTCAACATGGCAGACTCCACAGTGAACTGCAGTGTCTAGTTAAAAACAGCTCATTCTAAGGTAACAAAAACACAACAATTCCAATATTCAGGTGATCATACACTAATGAAAACATACCTATGAATATTATATTCCATTTCTGCAAATAGATCCTCCTAAATGTTACACACTGGACAGAAGAGTTCTGCTTCTCTTATCTGTGCATCGTTCCAGTGCATCTCTCATTTTTTCACAGGATTTAGGTGAAAAAGTAACACCACAGTAAATCTGTTCAATGTCGTGTGTTTCATGTCAACAAAAGAATCTGGTGAACTTTCACTGCGGGTGCTTTGTTGACTCTGTCACCACTGATTGAAGTCTTTATGTTTTCATAAGCCTATATGTGGGTCACAAATGAGAAACACTATTTTACAGTGTCTCATGTGTTTGCACAGAGGTTTAAATTACACTATAAAGATGTCCATACAGCGTTATGGGGAAGGTCAGTCAGAGCCAACTTTCCAAACCTCATCTGGTTCTGCCTTTGTCATGACGTTATCCCTCTTTTAAAAAAAATCCTCCCTCCTTTCATTTACAGATTCCATAAGAACAGTGTGTTCCTTCCAAACTCTCTGTAACTCTTACATAACTTACACCTCTACTTTTACAGTCTCTTGTTGTCTCTAGCTGCAACTTTTTTTCTTCTTCTTTCTTCTTTTCATTTGATTTTTACACTTTAGGAAATGAGTTATCTATGCACATCAAATTAACTGAACGACACACTACAAAACGGTACAAAACCGTGTTTGAGACCACACACTACCAGTTTACAAACAATATGAAACCAAACAACGATAAACAAGTAGCAACGATGGGCTGCGGGTTAGAACAATGCTTGGCCTCATAACATATTATAATGATGGACCTGCTGGTTTGAAGAAGTTAAAACTTCTATCTGGATGGAGACCTTGTTATCGTCTCTCCTCCCTCCTCCAGCCTCTATAAACACATCTGTCTTCCCCTTCCATCCCCCACTCCCATCCCCCTCCTCTCCACCTCCCACCCAAACCCGATGGCAGTGTTTGGGTCTGCAGCTAATGGAACTGAGTGAGAAAGGTGATTTGTTTTGCACATGTGGCTAAACAATGCCTCGGGTTGCTTTACGTCTTATGCAAAGCTGGAAGTTGGAATGTGTGTCATGTTTGTTAGCATGGGGGAATGTACTTGAAAGAGGGTCTATGGAATGATGAGGAAACGACATACCATCATATGGAAAGCATATCAGTTAGCAGTAAAAAAAAAAAAAAAATGAATGGTTGTGCTTAGCTAGTGTGGAATCCAGAAGGAGACAGAGCCTTATTCTCTCCCACTGTTTCTCTTCTTTCTGCTGAGTTTGCATTACTCGCAGTTCAGAACTGTTTTCAAATGGCACCCAAATTTAATAAATCTCTGTGTCAGCTTTGGACCACAGTCTCATGAAATCATACGGTTTACAAACCATTGTTCAAGAATTAAATCAAACTTCAAATCATAACCGCTTCCTGCCATTTTGAGGAATCAGAGAACAGAAAAAGAGAACAATTGCAGTACTGGTGATTGAGCATTTACTATAAGAGGAACTGTGAGATTGTGACAGCATGATGCAGTGTCCCTCCTCTCTGCCTCAGCTCACATGAACCATCAAAATCCTCAACTTCCTCTGGGACAATCTGTGCCACATCATCTGAACACGCACAGATAGAGATCTAAGTCTTGCTGGACTGTGTTGAAAGCTTTACTGGATACATATAAAATCCACATCTTAGGCCATGTACGGATATAAGGCATATAATGATGTATACATCTATGATAAAAATGTTTTGTACAGCACTCTGAGAATCACAGCCACAGAGCATTCCTGTTGGAATAGGATGTAGTGGGATGAACTGAAGTTTTTGGAGGTGTCACAGCCACAGCACACTGCATCCCAGAGGTTTGAAACTGAATGCATAGTAATGAGACAACTGAAGTTGCAGCTAGGACTGAATATAATGGATGAAGTGTCCTAAGCTCTCAGTCAACAGCACTGCAGTTCACATCTTAAGGAGCTAAGCCTTCAGCAAACTCAGGACACTTCCTCGGAAGCAGGAAAGTAGGTCAAAAGACACTTGTGGAGGTTCTACTCGTATTAATGGTTTAATATCTGTTTTACATAAACACATGACAGAGAGGAAGTGTTTCAGCTACAGTGATATCTCCAGGCTGTTTGACAGACAGTGTGGTTCAGGCCCTTTAATAAGTCAAACATTCTGTTTGTATGTGCCCTAAAAAGTGGGGTAAAAGTAACTTGGTAACAGCTTGCTAACAGCTCAAAACTGATCTAAGCTATGTCACAACATCCCCACATCGTCAGCAACACCAACATCAGAAAGTAGCTGATGCTAACACAATGTTTGTCGCTGCCATTCTACTGCCTCATTTTCTGCTGTCATATACCCATTCTGACAACAGTGGCAAGGTTATCATACCATATATATATCTCATACAACCCTACTACGAATCAGCACTATAATACTGAAACAAGAGTGGCACAGCACCGGTATGTATCAGCCAGTGAAATTGGAGCATCTTCAAATCATAATAAGAAGTGGAATAGGTCAGAAATTCTGTGGACTGGTATATGACAGTGGAACGTGAGTGATGTAAGGGATAATGCCCGATGAGGTGTCCATTATCAGGAATGAATGAACGGCGCGGAGGACAGCCTTCCCACAGACTGACACTTGATTTGTAAATCTGTTACTCTATACATTACACTATAAAATCATTCTAATGATCCTTTCTGTATAAGGACAGATAAGGTTTTTTTAATCCTTTCTAGTGCATCAAAGCTTTTATCTGCACTCATGCGGTAAATGTGTTTTCTCTGTCAAATGGAAACGTGCATTTCAGAGGCTTCTGTCTCGTGTGTTCTATCACATACACCAGAAAACCACCGCTTCCTCTCAAATCCAGGAAGTGATACAATACTGACAGTTGAAGAGGAGCTTGTTACACACACAAACAGGCCCGTGTTGAACCTGGGTCGGTCTGGTTGGTATGGCGTGTGAAGCCGTGCTGATGTTATATTCCCAGACAAACAAGGTTCCATTAAGCCCTCGTACTGGTCTGGATCATTATAAACAGACAGCACTATCGTATGTCTGATCAGTTAACAAAGAGATAGTGACAAAGTATGTTAAGAAGTATATAGTACAATGCTTTCACTGTGTGTGTGTGTGTGTGTGTGTGTGTGTGTGTGTGTGTGTGTGTGTGGGCCCAATACATCAAAACCTTATTATTATAAAATTATCTTTTCTCAATAAGAATGTCTGCCCTCCTCAGCTGGCAGATACCTCTCCCCCTCTGTGATCATTATAAATAACACAGAGGATTCTGTGGCATCAATAATGTAAATATTTACTATTTTAGAGGTAAGATTACACTTAATTGCACTTGAAATAAAGGCCTGTCTTTATGAGGGCCACGTAATGGAAGTTTCCATTATTTGAAAGAAAACCACAACGTAATTTGCTTTGATGGAGGTATATAAAAAGGTCTGTTTCAAGGGAGGACTGAAAGTGACTGAAAGGGAAAATAGGATGTCTCCGATGAAAACAACTGAAGGCCGGAGGAGACAATGGGGTTATCAGGATTAACAGGCTGCCAGACTTTGTGTGTTTGTTTTGAGCGCAGCTTGATTCAGAGCGTGTCACAGCGTCCACGTGCTAAGCGCTGCAGATGGTGCTAATTAGACCAACAAGATGAGGTGACTTTACGATCAGCCACATCCTTTGTAGTGGGGAAGGAAGTTCCTTGTAATCTTACTCTTACCCTCATTATGTTTGTGACAGCACAGGTCTCGCAAATCAAAAATGGAACAGATCTCTGGATTCAGTTACTACAACAACCATGTTGTTTCTCATTCAAGAAGTTGCACCTAAAAAAAGAGTTGAGGCTGACCCTCTATCTGCAACCCCTCTAATTCTCTGTGAACATTACAAGGCCTCAGTTTGATGGCGTACGAGTTCACTCAGGTTAGACATGAGGGCAGAGAGGCGCCCCTTAATTGGTGCGGCCCCAACAAGTTTGGATTATTATTCACCACTGAAAACAGCAGGGATGTTAGGGCCAGGATGAGAAGCTAAAGTCACTACACTAACATAATGCTTGTAGACTTTATACTAGGGTTGGGCAACACATTTTATCACAATATTTTTTTTTCTGTCAGCCAATATCACTATATCGCAAAACCTATTTCTGTTGAGCTCAGAGTTTCCCTTAAGCTTTAAAATTCCCTAATCTCACAAGCAAAAAAGTGAAAAGGTCTTGTATGAGTTGCAAGACAGGAAATCAATTTAAAGAAACAAATTATACAGTAAATAAAAATCTTGTCTCAGCGTTGTCAGAATAAATCCAGTATAAATGTTTACAGCCTGGGAGCGTGTATCTTGGGTCAGATACATTCAGCAGCTTCATTTTCAGCCTATCTGTCTACATTATGTTCGATGTGTCTATTAACCAAGGAAAAGCACACAGTGATGTTACACTTAGTTAGACAGTTAGACAGCCTTGCCACTCGTTCCAGGGAATGTGAGGCCATCACCTTAGTTAGTGCTGTTCCCCATCTGTTGCCACAGGTTTTCAACATACTAAATACACACCATCCTGTTTCGTGTCAGACTTTAAGCAACTTAGCCCCTTTTTTCAGATTGTCTCATCCAC